GTAGATTGGGTCATCAGCAAAGCAAACGAAGCCATCACAGCTGAGATTCAGGTTGCATTGGAACATGATTCCAGCAACGGGGGCGGTGCAACACAATGGTCGAACGACGACACTGTCAACCTGACTGTAGTCGATATTCCACGACCAGCTCTCGGTAAAGCGATCATGATGAGAGGTATCTTTGATGACGGTCTTGGTCTCAATGCAGAAATGAAGGATGATGGAATTCCTCTCCCGCCCATTGGAGCTTCTGTCATTAGTGAAATGAACTCCGCAGTGGCCCAAGTTGAACCAGACCTCAATATCACCACAGGCCTTGCCGGGCGAGAACGGGAACACGATCTCGACAAGCGGCAGGGGGTACTGGAAAAGGTTGGTGTTGAACTTGAAATTGACGCTTTTCTCCGACGCATTCTATTCCCGGTTGATACCGAAGGTATCTCCGTGGGAAAACGCGGCCGATTCGATCTTCCCACTACTCTCAACAGTAGCCGTGTCTGGTACCACCTCTCCCTCCATCCGACTGATGACATGCCAGAGCAGCTCGCGTCATCGGTACCTACAGCATGGTCTGCGGGTGCAGTATCCCGCCAATTGCGAGACTGGCGACTCCCAGAATGGGCGAACCGTCGCTTGAAGCAGCTCGATTTCACCGCCGATTTCGACGTAGAAGAATTTGTCGGTCGGTATGCGCGACTCGGTTGCGCCGAAGGCCAGGATGGTGTTGAGAACTGGATCATCGAGAGAGGCTGGAGCAATGGCGATGCTGTCGTCGGTGAACAGCGCGTGTGGATGCGCGAGGGTGCATGGTGGGAAGCGGAGAGTATGCTGGATCTTAAGCCAGAAGAGACACACGTGAATCCGTTCATGTACGGCCCTGCGTTGTATGAGCCCGGCTTCACCCCAGGTGGCACTGCCATCCATGAAAATTCCAATCTTCTCGGCATGCCGCCTGGTGGCGCCGTGGCCCCGAGTGTGATGGGCGGTGCCAAATCCATTGCCCCCAGTGCGCCATTCACCAACGCTGCCAATGCCGGTGACTACGGCTTGGGCCGGAAAGGTGACGATAAAAAAGGAGATATTGCATACTACGACGAATATGGCCGCTACATCGGCGAATTCGACCCTGAGTTTGGTGATCCGAAGCACATTGAGAAGAAAACCATAACCTGGGGCCGTCGACTCTGGACTGGTTTTGTCTGGGCCCTGACGTTTTGGATTCCTTCCTTCATGCTTCGATACGTTGGCCGTATGAAACGCCCGGATGTCCGCTTGGCCTGGCGAGAAAAGCTCGTCCTCGTGTTTTTGATTCTATTCTTCAACGGAATCGTCTGCTTCTATATCATAGCATTTGGTGACCTTCTCTGTCCCAACAAGGCCAAAGCCTGGAATGAGAAGGAGGTCGGCTGGCACACAGCTGATAATGACTTCTTCGTCGGCATCCACGGCCGTGTCTACGACATCAGCAAGTTCTGGCGCACACAGCACAGTGACATAACTGGTGAAGACACAAGCTCGGACAACATGAAGCAATTTGGAGGACAGATTCTAGATGCGTACTTCCCCCCTCCTCTCGACCGTTATTGTGCCCCATTTGTTACATCCGATACGCTCGCCCTCCAGCACAACAACACAGATGCTATCGCGCTTTCTACGGCCGAGCACAAATCTGGGGCACAGTCAATAACCACAACCACGGCACTCCACAAGGATACCTGGTATGAAAATAAATTCTTGCCAAAGATTCGTACATACTACAAGGGTGACTTGGTTTGGACAAGAAAGACCATCCAGAAGCAGGCCAACGATGATTCTCGCTACTGGGTTATCAAGGACCAAAAGGTGTATGACTTGACCGACTACTTCTATACACTCAAAAGGATGAACAATCTCGATCAATACAATTGGCTACCGTCGACTTTGACTGCTCTCTTCAAGAACAACATGGGCGAAGATGTCACCGACAAATGGCAGGACACAACGGACTTCAGGAATGCCCAGACATGTCTCGACTTTGTCTTCTATGTCGGCAAAGTTGATTTCCGTGATAGTCCACGATGCACGGTCAACAACTGGGTCATGCTCTCCTTCACCATTCTCATCTGCACTGTCATCCTGATCAAGTTCCTGGCAGCTCTGCAGCTGGGATCCAAACGTCGGCCCACGCCTCAGGACAAATTTGTCATCTGCATGGTTCCTGCATACACTGAGGGCGAAAACGACCTCCGGAAAGGCCTTGATTCTCTTACTGCCTTGCAGTACGACAACAAGAGAAAGCTAATCTTTGTCATCTGTGATGGTATGATTGTTGGTGGTGGAAATGACCGCCCCACGCCCAAGATCATTCTGGACATTCTCGGGGTTGATCCTAAGATGGACCCACCGGCACTGCCATGCAAATCACTCGGCCAGGGAAGTGAGCAGCTGAACTACGGCAAGGTTTACTCCGGACTGTATGAGTATGAAGGCAATGTCGTGCCTTACATTGTGGTCGTCAAGGTTGGCAAGGAATCCGAGCAGCGCAAGTCCAAACCTGGCAATCGTGGCAAGCGAGACACACAGGTCCTCCTCATGCAATTTTTGAACCGTGTTCACCACCGCTCACCTATGTCGCCCCTTGAACTGGAAATGTTCCACCAAATCAACAACGTCATCGGTGTGGATCCAGAGCTATATGAATACTGTCTCATGGTCGATGCAGATACCACTGTCAGGGAAGATTCTCTGAATCGCTTAGTTGCCGCGTGTGCAGCAGATGCCAAGATCGCCGGTATTTGCGGCGAGACTAGTCTTCAGAATGAGGAGCGTAGTTGGTGGACGATGATTCAGGTTTACGAGTACTACATCTCGCATCACCTGGCTAAGGCGTTTGAGTCACTCTTCGGCAGTGTTACCTGTCTTCCTGGATGGTAAGTCCCTATGAGCTTTTCCTCTTGGGATAAAACTGATACTAACTGTGCCTAGTTTCACCATGTATCGCCTTCGAACTGCGGACAAAGGACGTCCTCTCATCATCTCGGACAAAGTCATTCACGATTACGCTGACAATGATGTTGACACCCTCCACAAGAAGAACCTCCTGTCTCTTGGTGAGGATCGATACCTGACAACCATCATGACTAAACATTTCCCAGCAATGTCGTACAAGTTTATTCCCGATGCCTACGCAAGCACAGCAGCCCCTGATACCTGGAGTGTGCTCATGTCGCAGAGACGCCGCTGGATCAACTCCACAATCCACAACCTCGTGGAACTGGCAGCTCTGGAAGATCTCTGCGGTTTCTGCTGTTTCAGTATGCGTTTCGTCGTTCTCGTCGATCTGGTGGGAACTCTCATCCTTCCCGCAACCTGCGTATACCTCACCTACCTGATCTACCGAGTTGCTAGCCACACTGGTCCCTTCCCTATGATCTCGATTATCATGCTGGCTGGTGTATATGGTCTACAGGCGATCATCTTCATTGTCAAACGGCAGTGGCAACACATCGGATGGATGATCATCTACCTTCTTGCATACCCGATCTACAACTTCATCCTGCCGCTGTATGCCTTCTGGAAACAGGACGATTTCGGATGGGGTACCACCCGTATTGTCATCGGCGAGAAGGGCGACAAGCGAGTCATCGCCGTGGAAGATGAGCCCTTCGACCCGCGCAGCATCCCACTCCAGCGCTGGGATGACTATGCCATGGCCAATAACCTCCCTGGCCGCCGCGGCGACCTCAGCGCCAGCCAGGAGAAGGTCTACGCTGCTGGCCGATACGACGACATGGCTATGGAGATGGATGACATGCACTCGCAATACTCCTCTGTCAAGCCAGCTTCCACCATTCTAACCGGATTCCCAGGCCAGGGCCGCCACCACCCCTACCTGCCCCCACAGTCGCCCGCACCATTCGTCGGCGGCAACATGCCCGGCAACCGCAACTCGCACATGTCGAACTTCTCCCGCTACACGGATATGCCACAGGCGGGCGCTCAGATGGGTGGCCACTCTGCCCAAGCTTCCCGGCACATGTCCATGGGTGGCCTCAGCGCCTACCAGGATAACCCGATGGCCGCGAGCAGACACAGTGTCGGCATGATGCAGAGCAGCGATAACCTTCTTGGCAATGCTGGCTCTCGCAGCCCCCTGCCTCAGTACCTCTCTCGGCCCGCCAGCACTGCCTTTGATTTCCGTGCTGGCAGTGGGCCCGATGAGGGTGCCATTACCGAGGCAATTCGCGGCTGTCTGGCCGAGGTTGATCTAGATACTGTCACCAAAAAACAGGGTAGGTTTTGAAATTTTCTCAGAGATAATTTTACAGTTCACTAACCATATCGCAATAGTCCGCGCTCTCGTCGAACAACGCCTGCAAACCTCGCTCACGGGCGACAAGCGAGCCTTCCTGGACCGACAGATCGACCAGGAATTGGCTAACATGTGATCTTTAACTTGTAATATGCACTCTGCATCCCCATACATCTAGCACATGTCTTTTTGTTTTTGTTTTTTCGATATGGGGTCTCGGCATCTCTGGCGTTCTTATGGGGTTTTGGTCTTTTTTTCGAGTACAGCATCCAGCGTCCTGATCTTTGAGCTATTATGCTCTCTAGTCTTCACTTAAATGGGATCTTTTCTGCCAGCGCCCAGTGACAATAATATATGTTTTGATGATGTTGAATTCGGGCCTTGACCATTTTGTAAATCTTGCATCGTATAACCGAGAATTTTCATTTTGCGATCTCGCTGTGTCCTACATCCCAAGTTGACGCAAAGGTCGGAAATATATTGAGTGCTTGGGTATCAACAAACCGCGACATCTTCACTACATCTTCATTTATCAGTCTAAAAGTTGATGAACTCCATAACCTTCATTGTATATTCTGTAGGAGGATGTAAACAGCAGTTCAGCGTTCAACATTATAAATTAAAATCACCCAACATGATGGCCGCTTCCGGGCAATTAAAGCCTTCAAGGTATCATGTCATTGGATATCCCCATTGCTAGATGCTGGACCTAACGATGCACAACATTCTTATACTGATCTAGTAGCTTCCTAAACCCCTTCGAGTGATGCGACGTGAGATGATGGTAGTAATGATCCCTCGCAGCATCCATAATCGCCTTCACCTTCTCTGCGGGAACCTTTTCTTTACGATCATAGGTGTACAGACCATTCACCTCTTGCTCAATATCACATCTAGGTTAGAAAAGAAACCCCGTATTAGCAGAAGTTCTCGAATCCCAATTTCAAGACCAAGAATGGTGCATGCAACATACAACTGAGTCCAGACAAGCCCACAAATATGTCCGGGCTTCACAACCGCCATAACCAGTTTCTCAAATCGAACCAAGAAGTCTGCCGGGTCACTCGCAGTCGTATAACCCCAGTCCCGCTCCCCGGCAGCAGCAGAGTCCTTAGGCGGTGCGATATTAACCCCGCCAAACTCAGTGCAGATCACTGGCGCACCAGGCGTATGCTGGGCACCTTTGTCGAAGATCATGGAACCGGAGAATCCCGAGTAGATCGGTTGAGTGAAAACCGAGTGTCCACCTTTCAATTCGAGGATCCCTGACATGCTGGCACATGCTGCGCTCAGATCGACTGAGTCGCTGTAGTCGTGGAAAGTTGTTAGGTCAGTTTTGACGTGTTCCCAGCCGCAGTTGTCGTTGATTGGTCTACTAGGATCGAGGATCCTGTGTTTTTGCATTAGCTAGTTCATCCATTTCCTCTTGGAGGCGTGGACACATTGAAAATTCCACCGGATGGGTCATACTTGGTCACGTAGTACAAAGCGCGAACATGGTTACGCTGCTCGATGCTGTCCTTCAAGTTAGATACGCCCCACGACTCATTAAGTGGCGTCCAGGTGACCAGCGATGGATGATTGATATCCCTCTTCACGGCTTCGGTCCACTCGCTGGTAAATCGCTCAATGTAATCTGCGTCGAACTCGTACGCATTTGCCATCTCGCCCCAGACGAGGAAGCCCATGCGGTCTGCCCAGTAGTAGAAGCGCGGATCTTCGACTTTCTGGTGCTTGCGACATCCATTGAAGCCGAGGTTCTGCGCAAGCTCGATGTCCATCTTCAATGCCTCTGAAGAAGGAGGTGTCATTCCCGTTTCGGGCCAGTATCCCTGGTCCAGGAATAGCATCTGGAAATACGGCTTTCCGTTCAGTCGGAATGTTCCATCGCCGTTTTTCCAGGATAGACTGCGCATTCCGGTCGTAGTCTGGACTTCATCAACCAGATTGCCACCCCCATCAAACAGCCGAAGCGTAATATCATAGAGAACAGGATGCTCCGGGGCCCAGAGTGCAACGCCCCGACTCCAGACTCCGTCAACACCAAACAGCTCTGGGTTTTGAGTCTTCAACTTCCCTACCGCATCTTCAGTAACCTTTAAACCCAAATCAAGTGCAATGAAAGTTTTATCCCGCAGAAGCTCTCCATCCACCTTCGCAACAGTCAGCCCCGCGAGCGATACCTCAACCTCAACCTTCGCCGCACTTCCAACCCGACGTCCGGCAACATGAACCGTCGCATGCAACTGGCCGAGCTCAATGTCATCAGAACGAATCACCGTTCCTCCACTTCCACATAGCAACCGCATGGCCGGAACACTCTCTAACCAAACAGACTGCCAGATACCCCCGCTGGGGGTGTAGAAGATACTCTCCGGCACAGGCTTCCAGAACTGCTTTCCACGCGGCTGGGTCATGTCATAAGGCGAGTCTCTAACACGGAGAGTGAGACGAGCCTCCGTAGTGCCGTCAGCCAGGGCGTCAGAGACATCTATATCGAATGGCACATGTCCGCCGCGATGTCCGCCGACAAGGACACCATCTACCCAGACAGAGCACTCATAATCAACGGCGCCGAAGCGGAGGAGGAGTCTATCCCCTTTGTGCTTTTCGTTGGCTGTACGGATGTCCGTGATGCGTCGCTCGTACCACATTACCTCGTGCGCTTCGATGAGGTTTATACCCGACGCTGGGGTTTGGAATGCGTATGGAACTGTTATCTGGTGGGAGGTTTCCCCTTTCAGGCTCCTTTTGTGCCATTGCGAGGCTAGGCCTTCGTCTTTATCGTCGAAGGTGAAGGTCCAGGGACCGTCTAAGGTGGCCCAGTTTAGAGGGGTGCGTTGGAAGTCTGGGCGGGGGTAGGATATTGGCATTTTGGATATTATGGGAGTTTAGTTATTTAGTTCAAGAGCTTATGGTCTCCTAGAAGTTTTAAATTGATGATGGGGGTGTTGTGGATGAGTACTTTGTAAAGGTCAACTTCGACCCCGCGTCTAACGTCACTCGCCACAAGGAGCATACCGAGACGTCGATCTCACTCGAAGCTATCTAAGTTGGTATTAGAGGGCCATATGCATAGTCGTATCTATGCTCAAACAATAGAATCCTTCAAAACAACTTAGATTGGAGAATGTCTTCTAATGGCAAAATCTCATTGATGATTGGGGGATATCAGAGTAAAACATCAACATAAAAACCCAACTATCGGAAAACTCCTCTGAAGTCGATGTCAGATCTCCCTGGTATCAATTCAGACTATCCAACCCTTTCCTCCTAATGCGCACGGCGAAATAAATAAAAAATCAAAAAATCAAAAAATCAAAAAGAGGCAGGATATGGCCAAGACCATCCTTGCTCTATCGCACGCATATCTTGGATATCTCGTTTTCTTTTCTGACGCCTTCATTGCTTGCGTTCCGTGGTATCAATCAACAAGAAGACCAACAAAAAGACAACCGAAAAAACACGCTGGGAATGAGAATAAAAGCAGGGGGGAAAAACGTAAGAAAAAAATAACTCAACCAAAAAAAAGGGTATACTGCTGCAAATGGATATTTTGGTTTTAACGCGGTGGCCCAATTGGGGCCGGGTATCCAGAAGTAGAATTGGAAGTGCTAGGACGACCACTATCAAAAGAGGTGCGCGGGTCATGCTTGGGCGTCATGTCACCCGGCGCGGTGCCGAAGGGGAACTTGGCATCGAAGCGTGTGGGCCAGCCATTGCTGGTACTGCTCTTGTGGCTATGCGAGCTCCCCAGGACGGGCACGTCGTCTTCGGGGAGGTTCACGCCAGAGTCGTTCCATGGGTTGCGGTAGCCGCTATCGCGCGACTCCATGGAGACGAGCGAGGCCTTGGAGGCGTTGCTCGAGGCGTGTTTGAAGAATGATCCTGGCGAGGCGGAATGATTCTTGCGGCCGATGAACGAGGAGAAGGACGAGATGCTTCCAGGCTTGCGGAGGCGCTCGAATATCGAGCCTCGTTCGCTGGTCTCGTCGGAGAAGTTCGGCCGGGTGGGCGAGTCGGTTGAGAGGGGTGCTGGGGCGTGCTGCAGCAGCTTCGAGTCGAAGAAGGGTAGCGACTCTTCGAACGAGTCGGATTTAGGGCGTGGGATAGCACCCTTGACAGTGTTCGCGTCGAGTCCATGCGCAACCAGACGGGAAATCAGGAAGTCAATTGCATCCTTTAAGCCACCGGCGTTGTTGCGCGTGTATCCGAGGACCACACGGTCTTCGGGCCCGGGAGTGGGAGACGAGGAGCCTTCCTCGTGGGTAGTAGGAAGATCGGTACCAACATCCACGTTGATATCGACCTCGTACTGTTCCTTAAGCTTGGTCCGGACATCGGCGAGGAAATCAGAGCACTTGAAGTAGTCCTGGAGTTCGACCGAGCTCTGGAAGTGAAGCTCGTGGCTCTCTGGCACCATGCCAAGCAATGCGTCGACTGCTTGGGGGACCTGATACTCAGGGCCAGAGATGGTGACAACGTCACTGGCAAGTTCAGTGCTCGGGAACTCAATCTTGCAGTTCCATTTCTTCTCTAGCTCGTCGATCTCAGTCATACGGGCCAATAGCTCACGATGGTATAGGCGGTTGATGACGACTCTCTCAGCAACGTATTCGGCATCCTGTAAATGGTAAGTTTCTATGAGGAGATCAAAGCTGTAGACACTGTAAACACTTACAACTTTCTCGACCATGTCCATAATCTCCTGCTTGACAAGATCCAGACTCTGAGCGTTGCGAGCAGGGGTCCGACAGATCACGTTGTCAACCTTGATGTCGTCATCCTCCTTGCCCATGCCGCCGCGGTCCATGGCATTGGAGAACTTCACGAAGACAGAGTACTTCTTCATGATGCGCTGGATATGCTGTCCACCGATTCCGATGATCCGCTTGTGATACTGGTCAGGTACGTGGAACGAGATTGATGCAGGCATCTCCTGCTCAACCAAGTCCAGGCCATTCTTGGTTGACTCATACTGGTTGCCGCACACGTCGATATAGAAGTTGTATTCGTTGAATCCATCGAAGATGATTTGGACATTGCCTGAGTGAGAGTCAGTATCTCGTGTCACAGGTGAAATGTCTGGTAAAACTCACTCTGCCCCATGATCTTGTTGATCTTTCCGTTCTTCTTGCCACTAACAAACTCCTTGTGCTCGTTGGCCAGCTCAATCTTCACCCGCATCTGGTATTGGCTTCGCATCACGAAGGGAATCTGATTGATGACGGTCATGGCAGCTTTGACTGCATCATCGGAACCGTTGATCGTGAAAGTCAGATTGTCAAAGCTGACCTCCGCTTCCGAGTTGGTGCAGATATCCGATAGCATGGAGCGAATATCGGCAGTTGAGGGAGCACGGAGACCACCTTGAGCCGGGTCGGGCATGATGATCCACCACGAGGCACTATAGAATTGACCAGCCTGTACATTCAAGGATTAGCAAATCATTCCGTCAAAATGTCACAAAGCGACGCACCAGAGCCATGATTTCCCGAACTGTCCGCTCAACGTGCAACACTTCGGTGCCTTGAATCCGAACAAGGCCGCGTTGGCTACCCAGCTGCGGGAAAAGAACATAAGACCCGTTCATTTCCATCACCTTCCGGACCTTATCCAAACGATCGAGCAAGATGTTGTCGATCTTGCTCGAGCTAACAACCACATCCTTGACAAAAATCTTTACTCCCATCACCAGTTCTCGCAGCTTCTGCTTGGCGCGAGCAATCTGTTCCGGGGTCTCACCCGTAATATAAACCTCATCCTCGCTTCGACGGTTCGCACCGGGGGGGATATAGCCGAAAATTTGGGGGAAGGGCGGAGGGAAGTAAATAGCGGTGCCTGTAGCAGCCTCGATGAGCTTGATGTTCTTGCGGGTGCGACCACAGACCAAGGTGTGCATAGTCGAGTCCAGTTTGATGGCATCCACATGGCGTTTGAGCTGCTCTCCGGTTAGTTTGCCGGCCTCACGACACACGCACACAAAGACGTACTATTTGGTCAATCATGATCAAAACCCGGGTTTTGGCATGTTCCGAGCTCTCCAAATCGCCGTAAATGGCAACCCGGAAGCGCTGGTCCAAGCCATTATCCGACGCGTAGCCATAGGATGAAACCACCGCACTATCCGCATCGTGGAGCTTGGGAGTCAGCAGGAAAATGTCAGCCCCGGTGTAGGCGGCCAAAGTGTCGAGGTGCTCGAGGACGCTAGCTCTAATTCCTTTCGGTGATCCATCTATAATCAGATGCATATCCACGTCCACGGTCGCACATCGCTGGTGAACGGTCCGATGTTAGCAAGGGATGCCTGTGGACCTGAAAATCCTGCCGGTGCCGGATCCCAAAAAAATTCATCCACGTACCAGCATGATCGGGGTCTCATTCAAGATTCTCGCCCGCATCTTTCGTGCCATCTCCCCATCACCTGTGACACAGACGTTGGTCACCAACCCATTCGGCCGGCGTTGTAGCGATGGCACAGCCTTGGCCTCGGAGGTCGTGAGCGTAGCTTCCACCCGTCCTCCTTTCTCTTCCGTGATCTTCCGGCATAATCTCTGCAAACCCTCGACATTGCTAGTGTGGACGGGAAGCTGGTGCACCGATGTGCCCTCTAGTGTGCCTTCCGGGAAAGTCCAGCGCTGGAGAGCGCCGGGACTGGCGTGGAGCACATCTTCGACATCGGGGCCGGCTAGGGTGGACGAGAATGGGACGTTGAAGGACAGATTGACTGTAGGGTCGATACTAGTTGGCGGTGTCATGGGCGGTGCACCATGTGGTCGGCGAAAAGCCATGTCGGTGTGAGGTCTAGACATCCCGAAAGTCGGCGTCATTCGTTCCCAACCATGACGGGCCTGGCCCGTAAAGTTGGATATTTTGTGCATGACTAGGTAGAGAAATCTCTAACCCCTTGAGCGAGTCGAGGGGATAGAGAGAGAGAGAGAGAGAGAGAGATGGATTGGGTTGGGGGGGGGGGGGGGGGGGGGTGGGAAGGAATCAGGCCGTTCTCGACAGGGATGGGAATGACCTGTGTGGGTGTTTCGACCCGGGAATGGTGGAAACGAAGATCGATGGGGCCAACCAACGCAAATTCTCTATGAGAAGAAAAAAGAAATAAGACGAAAATAAATATAAAATAAGAAATATGTGTATATATCTTTAACATAAAAATAAGAAATAGATAAAGAAAACAAAAACAGGAAAAAATTAGGTGTGTCCTTGCGGGTCTACTTAACTTTGCAGTTTTTTTTTTTGGATTTACTGTATATGTATTCTTGATATTCCATGTTTGGCTAGGACCTTAAGACATTTACAGTAGCTATTAAAGGGTAGAATCCTTTGATTTAACATCTTTTTCTTCGAACCCACATTGTCCTTAATCAAGAATGCAGGATCTTGAATGTCCATTCGCAAGGGTCTTCTTGGCAAATGGGAATCTAGCCAATATTGGATACTTAGTACCCGATACAGCACATCCTATCACATATAAACTACCTGGGAAGTGATCCTAGTAAAATTACCCTTCGAGTCCCTAGAAACCGTGTCACACCAACTCTGCCTTAGGAAGTGGATATGTGACAGTGATGGGATCCTACGGAGTACAGTGAAGTGACTATTTTACGCCTGAAGGCTGTGCCTTCACCATTTAGAAGCCTTCAGGCACTTCGGGATCCGAATCATTCCGTACCGTACCAAGCATACACGGGTCGATCCTTTCATAGGCTCCGGGACAGAGAACCCTGTATGCCGCCGTATCTCAGTCCTAGGGTGATAGGACATTGCCACCGGCTGGGGCCGGACAGGAAAACTGAGGGGTCAGGCCTGGTCAAGCCTGGTTAGGCCTGGTTAGGCATTGTGGAGTTAAAGGTTGATCATA